ATTTTTCTTCTAAACAGTTTACTACACTACAATAACTTTTAAATCCATGTTTATTAAGGTACTCTCTCATAGCCACTGCTTAGAATTTTGTAAATGCAAGCCACACTCCCTGTAAATAGTTTTATTAACATGTGTTTGTAGAATCAGACCACCAAGAGCGATCTGGTGTTTGTGGGACAAAGATATTAAACCCAAGGCTGTGAAGTCTAAAGGATGTGGTACATGAGTAAATAAAGTTTGAGAACTCCTGCTAATGAAACTAAGACTGAGGAAAAGAAACAGGCTGTCTGTGAAACTGGGGGAGAAAAGGAAACCAGTATACATGAATTTGTTGCAGCATTTTATCAGTGTTCATACTCTTTCCACTACCTGCCTGCTTACATCGTACTGTGCTTAAATTGTAGTCTCTGCTGGTGAGAYAAACTTTTCTGGCAGGCTGGGACTGTTTGCAAATGGATTGGATAGATGGATTCTGGTTTATTAGAACTACAGAAAAAGATTTGTAAATAATAGAGCAAATTGATAGAACAATGAGGAAACAGCACTGAATGAAGCAGGTCTTTAGTGATCATGAGGAATCATAGAGAACTATACCAGGTTTGAAGCCAGTAGGTACAAATGACACTGGGATTTGATTTATTCAAGCCTGAAATGTCTTATATTCACTTGAAGATCTTCTGATTCCCAAAGATCGTTCAGTCATATCCTTGGATATTGCTTTTGTTTGACAAGGGATGGAGCTCAGATTTATCAGGGTTATCAGGAYGGGAAATGGCCTTTTACCACAACAGCCATTTGCTTTATTGATGGATTTTCCCACACTTTATGGGTTTTTATGTAGACTGCAGCTAAAATAGTGACTAATCCCTGCTGTTGTTGGATTTGTGGAAGCTCCAAGCAGATCTAAGGTMGATGTCATTGTCACCTCCTGCTCATGTGTGCATGGCTCACGCTGCTCATCAGCTTTTCCAAGGAATCCCAGCCTTCTTTAGGGCTCTGGTTCYGAAAAATACCTTGCCTATCCACACATCAGACTAGTTCTGTGTGTTGGGACATGAGAAAGTTTAGATGGGGAAAGGAAATTTATGGGAARTGAGAGATCTGAGAGACTGGGAGGACACATCTCTAGGAGAGGCAGGAAATGCCCCATGAATGTCAGATTGAGTTATTCCTGAATTCTACAAATAATGCCACRAGGGAAATGACATGGATCATCAAAGCATTCCTTTATGCCCAAATAAACTCCCCCTTGTCTTAGAAGCAGACCCCATACATATTAACAGAGAACCAGTGTGTGTTCTGAGTGCCCAGGATAGCTACATCTATTTCCCTAAATCAGACAGGAAAGAAAAGAAAATGTAAGCAACATGCAAAAAATGGATATAAACTCCAAAAATCGGAAAAACCTCAACGTGCTTAGAAACAATGTTGTTGAAAAGGGTTATGAGTCCCAGTCTGGAATATTTAACTGATCCATGCAAAGCGGGAAACGAGGTTTCATATAAAGAACAGTCCAAATTTAGGATTGTTATGAATGACATAGTGATTATTCTGGAAGGAATAATTCTGACTTCAGCTATGAGATGGCACAACAAGCCTGATGGTGSTGTCTAGGTGGGCCTTCTGGGAGGTTCAGTTTGGACTCACAGGGGAACAGAGGAGGCTCTCAGTCCTCCCCCTTYCCTTTGTTTGCTTAGGCTGGAAGCCATTTGGTATGGATGGTCTTTGGGATTTGAAGATGAGGATGTGCCTGCAACCTGCTYTATTCCAAATTATCCCTGACAAGGATGTGAAAAGAGCATGTAATGTGTCCCCAAGTGACACTGCCCTAAGGYGCTTTGGTGATGCACAAAGTGTCAGCAACTTCAATATGAATACAAGCCCAGAGAGCTATTAAAAACTAAACCAGATTGATTTAGATACAAAATAAGCAAGGAATTTATATCTGTAATGGCAGTAGCAGTTTCAAAAAATAACCAAGGATTACTGTGCATCCATCTCTGAAAACTCTACTAAGTTTTCTTTGCAAAAGATACGTTCAAGTCTCATGAGAAACCTAATGATATGGTCCAAAAGGCAAGATAGCCAGAAAGGTTCCCATAAGCCTTAAAAATCCACTTCCAATATTAAGACACTAAACCCCAAAAATTCTAAAACTTTCAGTATTAAAATGATTATGTGTCAAGTTGTCTTTTGTGCAGAGGTTTTATTCTAATTCRCAAAAAATTCAGGTAGTGTTTTCTCCAGGAAAGAAGCCAAATGTCAGCAGTACCATGCTCATACCAGTTTTTTTAGCTAAACTGAGTGGTCATTTGTACTCCAATAGCCATAGAATGATGTATTTTGCAGTTTGGAGTCTTATATTTACAGTGGGAGATGGTAAGATACATACAAATCTTCTTAATTCCTGTGTATCTTTATCAATCAGTGATRTAGTCTTCCTATTAAGCAGGAAAATAAGCCTTTTTACACATCTTTAATGCACATTTTCATAACAAGAGCCAATATATAGCTTCATTTTTTTTTGCCAAAGGGCCCAAGGAGTTTCCCTTCACAGTTAAAAAGCTGCAGTTAGTTTAATTTCTAAGTGAGTTCATTTACTTCCTTGCAACATTCTTCCTGAAAACAGGGAAGACGGCGCAATTTCATTTCCCTCTCTTTTGCTCAACTTCTGGGACAGCTAGATGCWGGGGGTAAAAAAATCAAATTTTGGGAACTTGCAGTAATAGAGACAAACTGGGAGACACAACAGCTGGGACTCTGGGGCAGCTTTGTTGATCAGACAGAGGTTGATGCCCTTTTATAGACTTAATCAGGCCATCTCAAGAATTCCTAAGTAGCCAAATGGGGGCTGTGGACCTGCTGCCATAGATGGCTGGCTTTGATAGAGTAATTCTAAATCTTTTTCAGGCTACTTGCGTGTATCTACTCTCAACAAGACCCTTGGAAATGACTTGCGCAATGATTTGTTACGCTGTCATTACTCATTAATCTGAGCTTCTGCAAATGATTTTCATTCTTCTGAAGTAGAAATAAAATCCTCATTAAAGAGTTTGTTTGTTTTAGAGCTACACAAAGGATTACAGAGCTTTTACAAACAGATATAAGAAAAAAATGTGGTTATGCAAAATGTTSCCTCTCGTAAAGCCTCGCTTTCCATTGACTCCCAGGACCTCTGGATTGAGCCTGAAGTGCATGGCTCAGCTCACTACAAAGCTTGGGGTCAGTAAYTGGAATCACATGGACTTGAGGCCTCTCGATCTGACTGTAGGTGAGAGTGCCAATTTATACTGGAAATGTGTATTACACAAAAAAAAMCCAAAAACCAAAACATCCAAACCAAGGAAAAACCTATGGTCAGACCTGCAGATGACCATACCCGTGATGCTTTCTAGACATACTCCTTGAACTTTTATTTAAATTTGCCTCATTCCTGGTATAGTTTGAAGAAAACACATATATTTTAAAATAGTGGTGGCAAACTAAACAGGAACAAGGAGTTCTTCCTCTGGAGTAAAAATGTCCACACGTGGTGTTAATCAGGGGAACTCCATGTGTGGACAAGCTATTATGTGTGACTTTACACTGTTTTAGGCAYGCTGGGTGAAGTTCTTTTTACACACCTTTAATCAATTAGGGGAGGTTTTGAAGTAGAGTGAAATAAAGCAAATTGAACTGAACCCTGAGTTTCTACAGAGGGGATTCCTCTGGTTCAGTTAAGCTGGTACGAATTTTAGACAAGGTGTAATCTTTGTTAGGTGTCTCCCACAGCTGTCTGATACATGAAAAATGGTAGTTTGGGGGTTGGGATGCAGTGCTGGCAAGGTCCCACTGTAACTGATGTAAGGTCTTTTTAAACTGAGTTAGGGCATTTAAAGAAGAGAGAGAAACAGACATGCTTGTGTAGAAAGTGCTCTAAATAAAATCAGCTATCCATCCTTTTTTTCCTTTTCCATCTGCCCCTTTTTTCCTTTTCCATCTGCCCCTTCCCAATGAAATAGAGAGGAAAAAACCAACACCAAAAAAACCCCAACCAAACAAAGAAAAACCACCCCAACAAAAAAAACAAAAAAACCTCCAAAAACAGCAGTCTAAGAAAAATAKATGGACATTTTGAATGTGGATGGAGGTCAGTTCTTGGATTACTCTTTCTGCAGCAGATGTGGGAGGCAGCACGAGAAGGGTTTTGGAAGCAGGTTCAAAAGGGATAAAAGGAAATTGCCCTTCACGCAGTCACTGGTAGACCCATGAAATTGGTTGCCAAAGGGTATTTTGGATGATAAAGTTTTACAAGAACTCATGGGGAGACATGATAAATACCTGGAACAGAAATTCACTGAGGGTACTAAGTACACATAGACCACACTTCACTGAGGAAAAGCTCCAAACTCAAAGCAACTGAAGGCTGGGAGAGCAGTTGGGAAAATTATCAGGTGTGTTTTCCTTATTCATGCTCTTCCTTTGGTGACTATGATTGTGGCTGAAGACAACTATTGAGATAGCTGGGCTCTCATGGACATAGCTATGTTCTTGTTTTAGGAAAGTACAAATAACCTGGMGCAGAACAAAACACACATTCAACTCCTACTGCCCTAAATACTTTTTCCCTTTGGACCTATTGAGGAGAGATACTCAAAAGTTGCATTATTGAGGAGTTACAAGAGAAATAGCTCAATCAGAGCTCACATGGCACAACCTTCAAGTAAATACACACTGACTTCCAGCTCTTTGTCTGAGTAAAATCGAGGGCAAAGTATACAGGGGTGATGAACTCTCTGTTTGTTTCCATCCCTGATTGCCWGTAAATATTATCCCTCCCATTATCTTAAAGATCTGGGCAAGAGCATTGCCAACTGGGTCCTTCGACCCTATCAGTGTTTGTGTTCCTGTTTAAATAAGATAAGGAGGTTAAAAAAAAAAGAAGAAAAAAAAAAGAAGGGAGGGGAGAGATAGAGAGAGAGCAGAGCTCACTGCCTCATTTGGGTTGAAATTCTCATCCTGACTTCTTTAGAGGAGGGGGAGGGAAGAAGGGATTTTTATTTTCCCCACTGAATTTCATTGGAAGATTCTAGGAGCTCTCTCCTTTTTAAAATCTTATTTTATTGACAAAAGCTGTATTGGAGTAAAATCCACGGAAAGAACTAGAAGTGGGGCTTGAATATCTCCCCTTTAGAGGTTAAACCTCTGCTAGGTGATTTCTTTTGTTTTGTTTTGCTTCGCCTCGCCTTTGTTTGTGGCTTTCTCCTACTTGGCACCGAGAGAAGTCGCTGCACTTCTCCTTCACAGAATCAGTCACGCCGGCCCGAGGTTCACGCTGAGGATCTGTAAAGTTTTCCGAGCTCAAGGGAATCACTTTCAGAGCGTGTGGGGGCGGCGGGGTATCAGAAGCAACAGGGTTCGTGCCTCCGAGCTGCTGTGACGGCTCTGTTCTTCCCAGAGCTTGCAGGCTGTATAATTAACCGGGCAGGCAGTGAATTAAATCTTTGTGAAGCCCACCGAGTGGGGGGTTCCTGCGAGCTCTCTTCCAACCGGTCTCGGGCGGCTGGGATAAGAGCAGCAGCAGTAAACGAAAAGGGGGAACCCACTGGACGCCGCAGGAGAGCCAAGCCCCCGCTCGGAGCGAGCGCTCCCGGCCGATGGACAAGCTCGGCGGGGCCCGGCCGCTGCGGCTGCYGCTGCTGCTGCTCCTGGCGCTGCTGCCGCCGCCGCTGAGGGGACAAGGTGAGTGCGTGAGGGGACGGGCCGAGCCGCGCCGAACCGAGCCGAGCCGTGCCGAACCGAGCCGAGCCGTGCCGAACCGAGCCGAGCCGCGCCGAGCGTAACCGAGCAGAGCCGAACCGAGCCGATTCGAACCGAACCGAGCCGAGTGTGCCGAGCCGAGCCCCGCCGGGCTCTGTCCCACAGGGACCCCTTCCTGGCGGGGCTCCCCCCGGTGTCCCCGTTCCGTCCCCGCGGTGTCCCCGCTCTGTCCCCGCGGTGTCCCCCCACCCCGGGCCCCCTTCTCCCCGCGTCCCTTCACGTTCCGGGCAGGCTTTAAAGCGCCGCTGCCACGTCCAAGTGAGCAGAAAGGCGTGGCGTGCACCGGCCCCGGCGCTGCCCCTGCCCCGGGCAGGTTCGGTACGATTCTCCGCCGGGACGGGCTGTGCCGCGGGGAAGGGTGAGTGATTCCGTCCCTCYGTCCGTCCGTCCGGCGGMCAGCCCCGGCCGGGATCCAGCGCAGCCCGGCGGATGGCCCGGGAATCGCGACAATRTCGGGGCGGCCGCCTCACGGTGCCCCTCAGCCCCGGCGGTGGCGGGTCCGAAACCAGCAGAGATGTCAGCTCTGTGGGGGAACCGAAAAACACGGGAAAAAGGAACAGCAGTGAACTGGAATCCCAGTGGAGCGGGAGGAATAGTGAAGGAAGGGATGCGGGATTTTTGGAGACAAAATGTGGAATGTTTATAAACGATACMGTGTGATGTGGTTGCTTTTGAAAGCCGGGATCTGGATCCGGGCCATGACTCCCTTTCTGTACTCCACGCTTTTTTCCTGATCTCTTAGTTCTGTTTGAAGAGAGGGTATGAATTTTAATTCATTGTAGCAATCTCATGCAAATCTTAATTTGTAGGAGATGACAAAGAAAGTATTTTTCCTGTGGTGATAATGAATTTATCACAGCTAGCAGGTAAGTGACTTTTCCATTAGAGTAACCCCAAGGGGTCCATTCATTGTTGAGKTTTCATTACACTCCAGGCAAATACTTGGAAACACATGGTCTCTGGCCTAGGCAGACAAAAGGCAGTGAAGTTAAATCATTTGTCACTGTCACAGTGTCTTGAGTCTTAGATTTTCATATAGCAGAGAGCTTGTCACAGATATCCTTCAGAATACCTGATTTTGATAAAGTGATTGTGAGTCTGCTTTTAAAGAGGGACAGAACATGGTCAGAAGAGCAGCATTTYCCTCCAGAGTCAAAATAGTTCCCTCTTTTCATTAGACAGCAGAGTACATCAGCAAAACTGTGGCTTTGATGTGTCACAGTGGGCAGGCATTGTAATTTTAAGCATTCAACATCAGAAYATGTAGAACATGAAAAATTTCACTTTGTAATGTCTGTACATTTAACCTTAGTTACTGAATAAGGTTTTAGAAAACTGGGAAATCATTAGATCTATAAGTTCAGTTTATTGAAGATTTTTTAACACAAAAATTGGCAGTAAAAGTTATATCAGGTTTTTATTTAGAATCCATAGTCTAATTTGACTGACAATTTCTATGTCCTTGAAACTTAACAGTCCACTGGATAAAATTAGATTTAAATGGCTGAAAGCAGGTGAGGATCCTTGCTTAGCAGACCAGCGCTTAAAGAGTTGACTTCGCTCGGGTGCAACAATTATTGAATAATTAACAATAATCTGTGTTTTGGAGGTGAATGAAGCAATTACGTGGTGAGATCATGTTGTTGAATTCTTTGGGGCAGAGCCTCTGCTCTCCTGCAGGTCTGGAGTAAGGGGCCTTGGAGCAAAGATGAGCTCAGTGATACAATTGCCAAGTTACTTGGACAGCGTATTGGTGAAATACAGTTTTCTTCTAAACTTGTTGTCATCAGTTTTTTTAATTGCTTTTCCTTACTAATGAATCACCAAACCATCAGTAGCTCTTGAWGTCCTCATTCTGAAGAAACTGAAGGGACTGCCTTCAGGGGAACTGCCCAGTGCATGTGAATGTGGGTATGTACATCATTCTTTGGAAGAGTCAGGAYCTTAAACCTTAAAAACATCTCGTTATACAACTTTTACTGGTTTTCTGTAAACATTGCATTATTTAACACATATAAACTACCATAAGCTGAGGAAGATGAATGACATCATTGTGACCAGGCAGAGTATTAATAGTTCATCCCGTAGCTCTGYCTTTGGCATGTCTTGGTACTGCAGGCACAGACAGTTTTAACTCACTAAACATCTGGAAATATGTCTATTCAGGGGAAGCTTATAGTTGTAATAATAAAAAAAAGTTCCACTGACTTTGTGGAATGAGTTTTATTTTAAGATTATGATTTTTACATGTGCTTTTACAACAGTACATTTATAAGAAGTCTATGGGTGGAGGTAGGAGACATAAAAGGCTAACTCTGTGCTTTCTTGCCTTCCATCACAGATAAAATCTCCCCCAAAAATCACATACTACCAGTTCTAAAACATGAGTGCTACCTCTAAATTAGTTTTTAGTTGACTTTTGTTTTAAGAGGCCATTTTCAGAAATGCCGTTTTATTGCAATCAGGAGAAGAGCAAGTTGTTAAAGCTCTTTGTTTTTCATCTGTGTAATTGAAAGCAGATGTGTTAGTGAAATCCAAGAGAAACCCCCATAAACCAGCTTATCAAGTTACTGCAGTATATTTATACTGTTTGTTGGATTTCAGGCATTATCTGAGAGTAGGTCAATGCATTTTCAAAAGTTACTTATTTATTGTTGTACTTCAGCCCATTCTGCGAGTTTTGTATCGACTTTACATGTGTTTTCAATAAATAGTTTTTTTTAAGGACCAACTTGTTCTATAATACTTCTATTACTATTTTCTGAAATGAAAGATGGGCTTTAGCCCTCTGGGACTTGACTGAAATAGTTACCTGGGACCATGAGAGAGTTTGAGTTTGGTTTTATGGATACTTCTAAAGAAGTAGGTGGTAAAATGAATTCAGTAAGCAGAGAATCTTGGTTTACTTGATGTAGTAAAATATCTRTAGAGAATAAAAGGGATTGAGACAGACAAGGTCAAGAAAGAGAGAGCTGAAATCCAAATAAAACAACTTCAGAACACAGGCAAGAATTTTAATGGTAATACAGAGTGGGTTAATAGGAAAGAGATAAATGAGCAAAAGCTTTTGTGAAAATGTAGCAGAAAGTGATGGTTGACAGTTACAGGGAACAAAGAAAATGAGTAAAGTTAGGAAATAACAAAGTTAGGTAATTTTAGCCAAAATAGGCAAAAACTTTTGTAAGCATTGTGGAAATGTCAGGYACGAGTGTTTCTGTGCAGATTCAGTGGAAGGAGGTAGGTCAGGGTGAGATTTTAAGTTAAGTCACCACACAATCAAATTGGGAGACTGGATATMATTGTTCCAAGAAGTGGGAGCAGAAGATTGGGTAGATTGAAGGGTGAGAAAGAACAGAAAAATTGTCCACCAAGAAGTCCATGAAGGAGTTGTCATAAGCAAGAGAGAAAATGTAGAAAGAGATCACGGCAAGCAAAAAGGCTAAAAAGGAGAGACAAAGTCAGTAGAGAGGAGTGAAGAGTCCTGGAAGAATGGCTGGAATTACTGGCCACAGTGTTTTGTGAACAGATGCCCAGAATAATGGCAAGTAAGTGGTGAAGGAGTAGCCAAAAACCTACTGCTAAGGCAGTTAATGAAGTTTCTTCCCTTCACTTTTTAAAGCAAACAGAATTTTTATTTTCCCCCAGCACTCAGGAGTATTTTGTCTCTGAATKGTACCTATTATAACCTACTTAGAAACTTTAAAGTTTGGAGAAATCGCTGTTTGGATTTGACTTACGTGCTGCTGTATCTTAGAAAAAAGCTCAGTTTCAAAATTCTCAGAGATTTTCATTCATAYTCTTTTCAGTCAATCAAATTGCTGGAAAATTTTCATTCTGAGAAAGGTGATRTAGTTTTGGCTACTGAGTACCCAGGTGTAGGAAGTACATTTTTTTGGGGTTATGGTAGCACCCCAAATGAGTGATACTGCAAAGGGGTGCTGTGTGTTCCSCACTAAAGGGTTCATTTTTGAGTCTAGTCAAAATCTGGATAGAGACCCTAATTTCAGTAATAAAGAAATTAATACCTGAAAGATCTTKTTTATCAGTGCTAAAGTGCATAGATGTAGAAATATTTTGTATGGTATATTMCAGCTTTTTAAGGTGTTTTCAAGGATTTGTGAAGCTTTGGAAGGATAAAATGTGCAAATTCTACCTGTACTACATCCATTGTAAATACTGCCAACTTCCAGCATTGCTCCTGTCACTGACTAAATTTCAGGGACTGAGTACTTSTAATATCAATGCTTAGTCAGAGAATCTGGGAGAGCTAGGTATTGACTTGTGGCTCAGCACAGATAATTTCAGAAATGAGGAAAGTCTCATGTAAGAGTTCTAGTTATGTTTTCTCTAAAAGAAAACCTTCCCTAAAGCATTGCTATATAATTACATGAAAAAAAAATAAAAAAGGATCTATATTTTCTCCCTGCTCTGTGAAGTCGGTGGTTCCTTCCATACGTGAACCTTGACCCATTGTGCTRTAAATTTTATCCCATCTGCTCAGTGTTTCCTGACTATTCTTTAAATATGGCAGTACTTSAATATCAGAACAGTTTGTCATTGTGCATAGTGTCTTTATATTCAGCAATAAACACACTGCCTACAGAGTAGATATATTTTACTTTAGTGGTGTATAAAAGCATAGTTATTGTTCATTTTCTAGCCAGATGAAAATACAGAAATCCCAGTGTGAAAATATTCTTTTCCTGTAATCATTTTACGTGAGAAAATAGAGAAAAGCTTGAGCATATATATTTGATATTCTGAGACGTGTGGTTCTGTTGCATTCTCATATCCTTATTTAAATAGTTTTTTTGGGATATTTACATACACTTGGACTCAATCCAGAGCTCTCTAAGGTCTACTAAAGACTGTCATTTACTGCAGTACATTTTGGGTCATTGTCTTTATACAAATGAACAGGA